GGAGAGATATGTGCAGAGAGAGAGAGATGTGGTTAGAGGCATTGTGGGGAAAGGGGGTGGGGGTGCATCTGACAGGGTGTAAGGCGGAGGTTGTGTGTCAGGGCTGTTAAATTAAGTCTAACGTGATTCATTGCATGATGGAACTAATGGAACATCGGATGTGTGTTATTCTGATGTGGTGAGTTCGACTTAGACCCCGCCCCCCTCCAATCCTTTCATCTTTCTTATCACCACAAACCAGATGCTATTCAATAACACAGAGGGCCCTAAAGTGTAAAATCTTTTCTACAGAGTAGAGGAACACCGCACATCCTCCATTACAGGTGATCTTTATCAAAAATACAGGAAGGAATGAAGAGGCGAATTCAACCCGATGCACTTTAAAGACACTGAAAGAGGCAGGAGGCTAATGAGCTGATGTCACAGCGGCTGGGTAAAGTCAAACCGGCCAAAGAGCTTTAGAAAGTAAGACACGAATCAGGGTGAATGATTAGCTGATTGGAGAAATATGAACAATCCAAAACTTCTTTCTTTTTGAGTTTGATGAAGGGAGAGTTGCTCTGCTCCTAACGACTGAAGCTCTTTTTAAACATCGTTTTAAAACGCTGCTTTGGTCAGATCTTGATAATGGGTTAGGGTTAGGGTTGAACACAGTTGGGCATTTTTGCAAAATCTCGCACAAGCGATCGGTCAGAACTCAGCATAGATGCTGGGAAGGACTCTCCACTACACCCAGATAACATTTTAAACGGTAACATGACTTGTGTTGGTATAGCGCAATCTAGAGTCCTACAACCCCCCAAGGTGCTTTACAAAACAGTCATTCACTAACACACTCACGGCCTGGTGGTGATCAGCTACAATGTAGCCACAGCTGCAAGGCTGCCGTACACACCGGCGCCACCGGTCCCTCAAACTCAAAGTGTCTTGCCCAAGGACACAGCGACAGACTGATTGGGGCTCGACCTTCCGATTACGGGGTGGAAACTTAACTCCTCTGCCACCATCGCTCAATATGGATTTCTGCTAAATTGACAGAGGTTCCATGTTTGCTAATGCTGATTATCCGGGGCGGCCATCTTGAATTGGTTTGACATGAAAAGTTAAAGTGATCTCTTTGAGAAATGTGTTTGCTTTCTGAGATGCACCATTTGAATACAAGTTCAACTGCAGAGAGGAGCATCAAGAATTTCACAAACGCTATAAAGTAATGAAGAAAAATGGACTGAAATAATTTACTTTTAAGGTGAAACTCAAGATTTTTAGCTGCCAGAAGGCAGTGAGATAACTTTTCTGTTTGTCCCCGTTAAATGCTGCTTCATGAATGGCTGCAATTAATAAGAAAAACAACCGCATTCCATTCAGGTGTCCAGCATTTGTAATGTAAGTGCTTCACTAAAATGGGTGCCATAATGGAAGAAAAACATCATTAATGCTAATAGTTACACCTGTGCTGGGCTTTTCATGAGGCCATTTATCATAATGTTCTTGTTTTGTCAGTGAAATCTGTAGCATTAATGACCTCACGGTTTAATTTGTGTATTATTTCTGTATTTAAACATATTGTTATGACCCAACTAGTCAGTCAACATGAACGGGAGACTGAATGCAGTTTTGGAGTTTAACAGCATTATTAAAGTATTTATATAAAAAGAGGCATATAAGATCATCAAACGAACATGCTGGAGCTCCAGAGCCCAATGTCTAATTCACACGGCTCACTTTTTGTCTGGCTCATGTCATTTCTTTAACTTCCATCCAGATCTTCACTGCACCACAGCTGGTGAAAATGCTCTGACTGGACTGAATGACTTTTGGTCTTTGCGGAAGCCGTACGGAGTCTGGACCATAGCTGTTTCTCAACACATTCTCACACCCGAAGCAGCTAAAACTGATGAAGGGTGACCAAGCGTTTGTTTCAGATGCGTTGGGGCTCCCTTAACCCAGTTACTTGTTCTAAACTTCTCATTAATCGTGTTTGAGACAGACGATACGACTAAACAAAGTTTTGCATGCACAAGTGGGTAAAGGTTAGGATGGGGGTGAGGGAAGGTTAAATTGCAAGAGGTTAGAGGTTAAATGTCGGGCTTCGGAAACCGATGCTCTAGCACAGCGAGTCGCCTCCCGACGCGTTGGGACTCCCAAACAAAATGTTGGTCCCCCCGCGTCAGTTTTAGCTGCTTCGGGTGTGAGAATGTGTTGTGTTTTCCTACGCCCACAGGCGCAGCCACTTAGTCCAATCAAGGCCCTCACAACAGCCTCACCAAAGAAAATTGGCGTAACACGATGGATAAATTCAAGACTTATTTATTTTTATACCTTTAACACCTTTTATTTCACTTCTGCAGTGTCACACCCTGTCCTGTCTCCCCGTTTTGGTTCAGCCTTGTGTCTCGTTAATTGCACCCACCTGCCTCTCGTTTCCCAATCACCTTAGCTCCCTGCCCTTGTGTATTTAAGCCCCTTCTGTTCTGTGTCTTGTGTCGGTCCATTGTTTCATTGTCCAGCGTGTGTTGAGTAAATCATTGTTAGAAGTTCTCACCTGTCTGCCTGTCTTCCTACCAGCGTGTGGATCCTTGCCTCACCTCCGCTCACCTCGCCACACGCCGTGACATGCAGACCCCAGAAGGTACATGCCAAACAAACCCTAACATCTTTATAAAGGAAGGAAGTTGTCGGGCGAAATATTTTCTGTATTTATTATTAATATAAGAGCTAATTTGGTAAGATGCTGTTCTTAGGAAAAAAGTAAAGTGTCTTTAGAGGGTGTAAAACACACAAAGTGGTGTCACCTAAACTGCCAAGAATGGTTTGTTTAACTTATTTTAAAAAGCAGAAATTTGTTTTTGAAAGGAATTCAATGTGAGGAAATATGGGTTTTCTGTGCAAAAGGTCATTTGACTCGGCTGGGTCAAAGAGCTGGGTCGCTGAGAACTTTCACCCACAGATTGAGACCTTTGCAGACATGAAGTCTGCAAGAGTCTGCTGGAAACCATAACATCTGAACACCTGCAGTACCAGAAGAAGGAGTTCTCATGGACAAGTAGTCATAACATAAGTCTTAAAACTTCCTTTCTTGATTTTAATGTTAAAGAATAATCATTATCATTTTGCTCATTATAAATGTGTTTAATCAAATGAATGGTTCTTATGCTTTGGGTAATTATAATGGATTAATGAATCCATACTTAATTAGATAATGTTTGAGGATGTTTGTTACCGACCTTCACACACACACTCAAGCAAACACACACTCAAACACACCCACACACAGATTCTCACAGTAAACTCCAAAACACATTTGCTGACGCACACGTTTGCTTGGAGAAGAGAAAGGCTTTTGGTAAGTTTCAGTCTTATGATTTGAGTTCGTGCTTGACAACGAAAGAGAGAGGACCTGAAGAAACTGAAGGGGGGACAGAGCCGGTTGGCTCGTTTCTCCCCCCCTCACGCTGTTCCTTTCAGCCAGACAGAATAGCTGAATCGCAACTTCTAACGCAGACTCATACCGAGTCTCTTGATTTCTGAGTGAACTAAACTTAACAAACGCATCGACAAAACGCTTTTCCATCGACGTGTACCGAGGGCATCTCTGGACCGGGCCGCGGACACCTCCGTCTCCTCTGCCAGCCGCTGGTGTCACCTGGATGAACATCCTCTGGCGTCCCGGATCTAAAAGGGGGTCCGATTTTCGGTGAGACAGAACACGGCAGATAGCGTTTTGATGCATCTTTTCCAACTAAACCTAAGTTTATTCAAACCATCACTTTTCACTCAGACACCTGTTTCTTCCTGAAGCAAAATCAGATGCACACACGCATCCATCTCACCTCATTTTCAATTCTCACTACACGTTGCACACACGCATCCATAATCACATCATATCACTCTCAACCTTCAGCACCTCCAACAGAAGGTCTATTTGAGCAAGTTTACAATATCAACTGTTAAAGATTGTCCCACAAAGTTGCCAATGTTGATTGTTATTTCCTGTTTGTCAATTTCAAAATCATTAGTTTAATTTGAAGAATTAAAACTTTTAATTGTCAACTTGTTTCTTCATTGAACTGAAACACAGACACACGGATATTATCGTCAGTTTATCGATGAAAACAACCTTTGAGTCTTCTTAAAACTATACAATTTGGTTATTAATTTAATAAAATTAATATCACAAATTAACATGTAGAATGGTTCCTCTTTCATAAAAGAGCATAAACCACAACGCTACAGTGTAAAACACACAAAGTGGTGTCACCTAAACTGCCAAGAATGGTTTGTTTAACTTATTTTAAAAAGCAGAAATTTGTTTTTGAAAGGAATTCAGTTTGAGTTCTGTCTTCTCAAACGCCCAGTGACAGATGGCTGCTTATACTGAGCCAGGATCTGTTGGAGGTTTCTTCCTGTTAAAAGGGAGTTTTCCTCTCCACTGTCGCTATATGTTTGCTGAGTAAGAGGATTGCTGTAAACTCTCTGACACGTCATTGACTCGATGCAGTCTGCTGGGTTTCTTACTTAGGAAACTTTTAACTAAATGGCATAATGAACTGAACTCAGTGCATTAATAAGTAGGTTCAACTGGAATGTTAGCTTCGTAAAGTGCCTTGAGATGACTCTTGTGATCTGACGCTGTATAAATTAATTGAATTTAATTTCCATCTTAGTAACTATTATCAACTTCATTAAAGAAAAAAAAAGCTTCTCTCTGATTCTTCCAATTGAAATCACTCTAACATCTTAGTGCAATTCCTGACCAAAAATCAGAGATGTTGATCAACTGGCTGGGAAGAAAGACACTCTGAAAACGATGGTGACGTTCTGTAATTAAAATAATTAGCTATGTTTATTATAACACAGTTGTTGCTAGATAAACCTATATTTCTCATCCATCTTGGCTAACAGGTGGAAACGTTCTCAACAGGACAGCTCCCTAATGCCTTGGCCTGATTCTGTTGACTTTTACCAGTTTTGACCCAGGCTGTTGAGGTCATTCAACTCACCGTCTACACAGGCTGGCCTCGCTCTGGTGGTGCCGGCAATCTGGCCTCTCCGGCAGGCACAGCGGGCAGTCTGCCTGGCGATCGTCCGTCTGGGAACGCTGCTATCTCTATTGAGCATCACTATCTCACAAGTTCCCACCGTCAACTGGCCTGCCAAACACAGGAGAGAGGGACAAAAGTGCATCACATTAGCATAATGAGATTGTAATTATCATGTTACAGAAAAGCAACTAGTGTTTGATAGTAGAAACAACAGGCTGTTGTACAGAACCAGGCTTTTTTGCAGTGGGCTGAATGGTTAATAGCTTTTACATTTAAACTCAAACAGAAATCTGGTACTTAAAGACAGTCGGAGTCATCTTTAAATTTAGATGTTTTACAGTTAATGAAAGTATTTTACTGTCTGCAGCCCTTTTGTTTGCGAGTAAGCAAAATATTTAATGAACTATTGTGTTGATTTAAAGAAAATCGACAGAAAGTAACCAATAAATTAACATTTATTACTGATCAACTTGGAGTCAACTAAATTCAAGATGTCCACCGCAACCAGTTGACAAAAATGGCTACAACTCTGCAAATGTTCCAAATTTTAACACACGACTTTCTGAAAGTCCATCACAAAGCGCACTCCAAATGCCAACAGATTGCCCATGATCCAGAAATATTACATAAGACTGTGCACTAAAATGGCTAAAACTCCATTAGATGATCTCAGCCCTTTAACTCTAAAAGGCTATTACATGTTTGGTCAATCAGCTGCACGTTAAAAAATCTCACTAAATCAGCAGCAACATGATCTGAAAAGAGCTGAAACAAAACACCTAAACAGGTTTTCACTGAAATGGTGCGCTAGTTAATGAGACACAACAGGAAGCTCAGAACCAGCCTGGAATTTATAAGTAAAACCATGAAGGTCTCACAAAAAGGTAAATGTTGATGGTTAAGACTTTAATCGAAGCAAAACCAAGGCTAGTGGAAACAACACTCACATTCAATTTTTGACCATTACTTCCTGTGATCAGCATCTGAATTTCCCAATGCCTGCTGTGCCTGCCCAATTTCTTGGTGCAATACAAGGCTATGTATTGCAAATATTGGAATTCCACTTGTTGGACTTTTTTTTTGTTTGACTATTGAAATGAGTTCTGGAAACACATCCCGCTCCACCGGCAGGAGTAACATGTGACAGAGGAGAATGCTGGGTCCTGCGCTTCAGTGCCAGACCAATTTTCAGTCCAAATAAAGTTCCTCTGAGACTCCAAATGAACGGAATATCTCACAGAGGTGCACTGCCACCGAAGGAGAAAAAAAACGCAGTCATTTGTCAGCTACAATTATAATTCTGTCCAACCGTAGACAATTACTGCAACGTTTTAAAAGCAATACAAACTAATAGGTAACTAATTGGACGAGAAAACCCCTGAATTGGTTCCGATAATTAGAGAAACTTTCATTTGTAAGGATGATTTCAGCTGTAATTGGCGTGGCTTATTTAGTCACCGTTTAGGACACAAACACACGAGTAAAAGGCTCATCTTCCCCTTTTTCATGCCAGGAAATTAGAGAATATAGGCAAAACGTTTAGGAAAAAATTCTGTTCTGCTTTATAAATGGCAGCCTGCATGATGAAATGAGCTAATTTGTAATTTTGATTTTGATCAAGTTTATTTTGGAATACAAATGAAACAAGTTTCTATTTGCCCACCGCTGCTTAAATTATACTGAAGTGATGAGGTTCGTCCCTGAAACCACAGCTGTACTCATGCATACCTTCCATAATCATAACGTATGATTCACTTTGATAACTTTCTGCTTGCCGTGGGCTAACACAAGATGAGATTTCTGTGTTTACGTTTATTAAATGAACCCTGTAAAAGGTCTTTTGTAGCACTTCATTGTGGCTGCGGATATATTTCTGTAAATTGTTTGGAAACCTGAGGGAGTACATTTAATTGTTTCTTACTAAGGCCTTTCTGCTGTGTTTGAGGGACTTATTAGTTGTTAATAGTCTTGTGGTAATTTTTTTTATAAACAAGCTTTAATTACAATAAAGTGCTGAAAGCGTCTGCTGCTTTTACACATTTGGAAGAACAAATGCTGGGGTGTCGATGACTCATTTCCTCAAATCAGGTTTGTCATTTCAAATCAACGGTTTGTTGAACGCTGGAATGAAGAAAACAAATCAATAACCTGTTGAACTCCAGCTGAACAGAAGAATAATAACCAGATGGCAATTCTGAAAGCAAGAAGACCTACTTTTAAATAATTGTCATTACAATTACATTTTTCTGTGTTTTTCAACAAACAAGTTCACTGAGGAACCCGTTTTTTCTTGTTGTCTTGATTAAAGATTAAAGTCTCATTAGTTGTCACACGCACTGGTGTGTGGTGAGATTTGTTCTCCTCATTTAACCCAATCCCTGGGGGAGCTACAGACTAGGTTGCAGTCGAGAACTATTTGGTTGTTTACCCCCCAATTGAACTGGCGAGTATCCAGCAGTGAGGCCTTGGGCCTCATTTTTTAAAGTCTTTGGTTTGACTCAACCATGGATTTGAACACATGATCTCCCAGTCTCAGGGTGGACACAAATACCACTAGGCCACTGAGCTGTTTACCTACTAGAAACATGATCTGCCACTCTGAGTTTAACATGCAGGTTAAATATGAAAATTGTCTTTCCTGCATCAGCCGTCGATGGAAATTAGACAAATAAACACTCGGATTAGAAAAGCTAGTCGGATCTATGTCTCTCTGCTAAATGAACATTCACGGACTCATCCATTTTGGCTCGCGACAGGGAAGACTGTTGTTGACTTAGCGTCCAGGTGAGAGCAGAGTGCGTCTCGGCTAGTTGACGCTAACTGTTAGCATTGGCAACTTCACAATATGGCGGATTTCCTGCAAGCTTGTTTTAATTGTGGAAATAAAACATCAACATTGGAAAGAAAATTGAGTCAGTGGTAGAGTTGTGTTGTTATTATCCAATCAGAGGCAAGATTTCTGAATATCAGGAAATAAGACTCCAAATCTTGCCCTCATTGCAAGCAAGCAGTATTTTTGTGTTGGGGTAAGACCGTACCAACGGGTGGCCATTAGGGTCAAAAATGCCTGGGAGCGCAACCTCCAGCAGATGTACATGCACATCAGACTCCTTTTCATCACTGGCAATTTAAAGGTATTTAAAGGTGACAAAGTAAATGTGTAAGACAACAATGTTTATGAAGGTTGAAAGTTCTGTTACAAATTAGTAAATTAATTTTGTCCTCACAGGCTCCCGTAAAAGCAAATATTGCATCTAATATGGCGTTGCCCAGAGACTTAGACCCGCTCCTACGTATTTTAAACCTGATTTTTATGGTTACATGTTACAAAGCTGCCAACTGGGCATTATTTAAGTCATTTCCAATAACATTTCGATGGATATTTCCAGAGATTAATGGTAAAAACTAAACTCTGTCTCTTTAATAAAGCCACAAGAGATAAAAGTTGTGGAGACGTCCTCCTGTTTATTTTCTGGTAGAAAGTTTGTCCTTCTGTTCTATATTGTGGAGAAAGCTGTTGGCCAAAGCACTTCAGGCTGACAGGTGAATGAAATCAAATCAGCAGAGAGAAAAACAGAACAGAGAGGAGTCTCTGCCGTGGTTCATCCAAGGCCAATTCTCGGCATTCTCCAACCATCGTCCCTTCACTTTGCCATATCAAGTCATTCCAAAAACACTCCCAAAGGTTCATTAAGTGACCAGGGAATGAAAGCAGTAACAGCAAAGGTTGAAAGGGTTGTTGATCAACACAAATGACTCATAAAATTACCTGAGCCAGCGCTGAGATTTCTAAAGTGGCTACCTTTCAGTGCAGAAATGATTTCTGATGACTCTGTGACCTTTCTCCTCACAGAGTCTACTAAAGCCGGGCGTACACTGTGCGACTTTTTCACTCGTAGCACTCAGCTTCAGATCAAACTGTACGACTTCCTCGCAGAGCAGATCTCACGAGTCATGTGCTCACACTGCACGACCCAGTTCTCGCATGCGACCTGACTGCTCACACTGTTCGTCTGGTAGCAACACGTCGGCCCTAAAAATATGCTAAAAATAGCAGTTTTTACTCAACACGTCAGACTTTTTTGTCTTGTTTTGCCTGTTGTCCTTCGGGAGTGCTGCAGGAGGACACACAGGGATTTATGGGGGCTGGATGAGGAAAACGAAATAAAGAAAGTAAATGTGTGTTTTGTGATAGTTTAATTTGACATGAACACGACAAACACGCTTTATTGACAATCTTTGTGAGTAAAAAAACGTGTAGAAACAAAAACGAACAGCGTGTGTTATTAGGGAAAGAGCGAGCGAGCGGCGTTGATGCAGGATTGCGCATGCGCCGTGAGTGGTTCTGATACTTTTTGGGTCGCAGCTGCTCGCAGCGCCGCTTCAACAGTGCGATACCCTCACGAGGGACGAGCAAAATATCAAACACTCCAGAAGTCCGTGCGACCTCACGACTGCTGATCGGCAGCTGGTCACGTGGTGTCAATCACCTCTCGTAACCCCCTGTACACTACACGACCGCTCGGCGCAAAACTCGCCCCGATGTCGTGGATTCTCGCACGACTGGAAAATCGGCTCAAAAAAGTGAAAAAGTCGCACAGCGTACGCCCGGCTTTAGTAAAAAAGCTCACAGTCAAGATAAAAAAATACCTTACTAGTTCACATCTTATAGGGAACATGTGTAAATCCTGAACATGTACAGGTGTGAAATGTGTACATGGTTGGAATCAGTGCAGTTAATCAATACGTAATTGAAAACATTTGATTATTTAAACAGTTTTCTCCAGCTGTCTGGCGTGATTAAAGCCAGGTAAAAGTAGAAATGAATGTGTTGTGGCTACCAGCCCTAATGAATGGCTTTCCATTTATCCAAGGTTGGGCCTCAAAGGTGTCAGGTCCAGGAAGTAAACCCAGACATTGCTTTCTCCAGTGAAATTCTCCAGCTCTTTGATTCTTTCTGGTTTGCTGTAGGTTCTACACTCACTCATGTCGAGTGAAGGAAAGCTGAAGCGTGAGAAGGATATGCGGATTGGATTAGTGCTGGGTCTGCAGTGATGCGGGCGTCTTACCGGTCTGTTGTGGCAAAGATCTTGATTTACCGGTCATCT